AATTATGTGACTCCTTATGGCAATAATGGTCCTTGCTGAACTGTACCACACTGCATAGCAATATATTTTGCATGTCCATAATTTAACTATATACCATATTAGTTATGGTATATAGTATAATAGTAGGACAAAGTGTAAACTCACAGCCTTAGATTTAACCTTATTAGAGGTAAGCAGAGGTAAGCAGCTGTCTAGCATATCTTTTGGGAGAAAATAATCCCAGCAGTAATGATGCTGTCTTCATCATTGTCTATAAATATACTAAATTATTTATTAACATATGTCACAGATGTCAACCAGAATGGAAAACTAATAGCTTATAGTGGTTTAATTTATTTGATTTACACATATTGTCAGAGACAACCTTTATGGAGGAACATATAATAATTAAGCACTTGTCAGAATGGCTAAATGTCACTATAAAATAAACTAGCAATCCAAATCTCTTGGGGCACTTTTGATATGTTACCAGTTCTCCTGGGAAAGAAGGTTTTGAAAGCACAAATTTGCAAAATGTAGCCAATGTGGCCTTGATAGAATCAATAGATTTCACTTATGGAGCTAAGATTAATGGGCTAGGCAAAAATCCAAGCTAGTTATAGGAAATAACAAGTAAACTGAATTTTAGGAACAATCTGGGTAAGAATAGATTATTTTAATGAAGGGTCAAATTCCTAGTTAAAGAGATGGCCTAAAAAATCCCTTCCTTTCTCTCCTCTCTCCTCTGATTTTCTTCTTCTCCCTCCTATTTCTGTTTTCTTTTTCTTTCTTTGTCTCTGTTTTATAAGAACTCCCAGAATTATCTAATAATTTGGTGCTTTATGCACTCTCTGCTGTCTCTTCCTTTTATACATCATACAACCAACCCTGCTAGAGGATCATTAATTTTATAGAAGAAAAATGTTTATTTGTAACATTTTTTATCATTTTAACATTTATATCATATTTTAGCCCACTCGAGAGCTTTGCTCAAGGAGGCTCATTGGTTAATTTTCTTTAGTTCTAGGGCTATTCATGAATTTTCAGAGATACTGATTCTTAGATGGAATAGTCTCAGAGATAAAAAGTCTAGAGCATTCCTGTGGTTGATGTCTGTCTTTATTAAGATATAACAATGATGTAATGCTGCTATGATTCATACTATGATTAATTGGTTTTTTGTTTAAATGCATGAGGGTTCAATATTTTACATTTTATTCTCTCCTCTTTACTTTTTATTATATAACTATGTACAAATAAATTAGCAGATGAGTTAAGAGGGATTCTGCTTCTAGCCATGAAGGAGTACCTGGCAGTTATTACTCTCTTTCCACAAACAACTATGAAATTGGACAAAATATGTGAGGCAATGGTTTTTAAACATGGGACAATAGATATGGTAGGATAGTAGTCTTTGAGAGAAGGGAAACATACGAAGTAAGTCCCAGGTTTATCTTCTTTTTCTGTCTGAAGTAACTTTCCAAATTATGATTCAAACAGTCAAACCCAAGTGAAACCCTGTATCTCATTGAAGATGAAAAGATTAAAATAGCTGAAATTTGGGGGCTCAGTCGGTTAGACGTCCAATTCTTGATTTCAACTCAGGTCATGATCTCAGGGTCGTGGGATTGAGTCCTGCATCGGGCTTCACTCTCAGTGTGGGACCAGCTTGAAATTCTCTCTCTCCCTCTCCCTTTGCCCCTCCCAGCTCATACTCTCTCTAAATAAATTAATAAATAAAATCTTTTTTAAAATACCTGAAATTTGTAGAGCATGAAGCCATAGAAGAGAGACCAACATGGTGGTTGCAAGGAGGACAGAAGTCTCAATGGGTGGCTTCTGAATATCCTTGGTCAATGGCTGGGCTGCCTATATGCATCATTGGGCTTCATGAGACCCCAGAGAACTCCTTGTGGGTTCACAATTGTGGGACAGTGGGATAAATGGGGATATTAGAGGTTGTGGGTTCTGAGACACATTGAAGTTACAATCAGTCATAGTGAAATAACCTCATTGAGAACCCCAGGCTTTCAGCTGAGACTGAAGAAAGACCATACTTTAAAAATAAGTCCTTAATTTTAGTAAAAAATGTGTTAGAAAAATGTTCTTAAGACTAAGGATACAACTGAAACAGACCAGCCATAAGGAGGGATAAATCCAAGTATACCAGATCAAGAGGATCCATTAATAATTTATTTCCCTGTCAGAAAATCTAATACCTATTTAAATAAGCCAACATAATCTAAACTCACAGCAACATATTATTTCTAATAGCCTGTATATGATATAAAATCAGTAGACATACAAAAAAGCAAAATAATAATAATAACTCTCAGGAAAAACATCAGTCAGTAGAAACTGATCCTATCAGGATTCTAGAACCTATAATTGGCAGAAATAACTGCAGTACCTTTTATAAATATGTTCAAATATTTAAAAAGAAAAAAAGAACATAATGAGTGAACAGATACGGTACATCACATTAGAAATGGAAATACTATAAAATAACCAAATGGAATTCAAGAACAGTGCAGTATATGAAAACCTACATCTATAATTTACTTAATGTAAAATATTGAATGTTTTCCTGCTAAGATTATGATCATTAAAAAGATATTTATGATATCTTCTAGTGTACTGATATTCTAGCCATTCTAATAAGAAAAGTAAAAGAAACAGAAGTCGTAAAGATTGGGAAGGAAGAAGTAAAATTATCCTTTTAACCAGATGTCATGATCATTTACATAGAAAATCCTAAGGAATAGACATTAAAAGCCTACTGGAATAAGTCAATTTTAAGAGGTCAAAGACAAAATAGCAATCAAAAAAAAAATAAATGTATTTCTACATTTGAAACAAATAGCATTTAAAATTTAAAAAGTCAATGTCACTTTTAGCAGCATCTAAAAACATGAAATACATAATAATCCTAACAAAAGATATACAAGATCTATTCACTGAAACTACAAAAGTTCTGAGGGAACTTTAAAAAGACATAAATGTGTTTACATAACTGTAAAAAAAATATAAATGTACCATGCTCATAGAATGAAAGACTTAATGTTGTTAGAATATAAATTATTCCAAAATGAAATGCCCCCCCAACAGAATTTCAGTATATTTGTTTAAGAAATTGACAAGTTCATTTTCATTCTAAAATATATATGGAAATTCAAAATGTATATAATTCCTATACTTATTGTGAGACTGTAGAAATGTAGACAGTAGTATTGACATTAGTATAGACAAATATATCAATAAAAAAAGAAAAATAGACTTTACATATATGATCAATTGATTTCTATTTACTTAAATTAGCATGTTTAATTACATTTGATGTTTTAAAAATATTGAAATCATTTAGGCAAAATTTAACAAAATTTAATCTTTTGAATAAAAAAACAAAATTTAAGCTTTAGAATAAGGCCACTCTCACATAACTTTCCATTTCCCTCCTTCCTAACATTATTTTTCCAAAATTCAGTTGCTTTTCAAATCTCCAAAGGAAAGAAAACATCATAAAAAGTATCTAAGTACCTATGTCAAATCCCATCTTATGGAATTTAGATAGATATTGTAAAGTTACTGCTATATGGAAAAATAAAGCAAATTTAATTGTGGCACTACGTATACAACTTTTTTAAGCAAAATATCAGCTAGAGATTCAAGTCAAGTCAAAACACTATACTGGCTGATAAATTCCATCATTAGGAGAAGAAAACTCAGTTTGGGTCACTCTCTGATATAAAATTCCAAAACAAACCAATCTTTTCAGACAGGGAATAGTTCTGCATGGAAGGTAGCTTCAGGAATGAGTCTCTAACACAACATCTAAAATTTAATGTCTAGGGACACCTGGGTGGCTCAGTCAGTTAAGCATCTACCTTTGGTTCAGGTCATGATCCTGGGGTCCTGGGATCCAATCCTGCATCGGCTTCCTTGCTCATGATTGGCAGGGAGCCTGCTTCTCCCTCTGCCTGCCGCTCCCCCTGCTTGTGCTTGCTCTCTCTCTCTGACAAATAAATAAAATCTTTGAATGAATGAATGAATGAATGAATGAACTTAATGTCTACTCTCCAAAAGAAAGTAAGGGAGAGTGAGCACGCGCATGCAAACATCCCATTGTGATGACAAGTCCTGTCAAACATTAAGCTATATTCAACCTGTTGTGGGTGAGTGATTTCTTTCAGATCATCTCCATTCTGCTATGGAGCCCATCCAGTGAGGTTTTATTTTCATCATGGTAATTTTCAGGTCTATAATTTCCATTTCTTTCTTTTTCACAAATTCTATTTATTTGCTGAGATTTTCAGTTTTTTCATTTGTTGAAAGGCAATTTTTAACTGATTTTTGAACGATTTCAATGATGGCTGCTCCAACATCCATATTAGATAATTCCAGCATCTGATTCATCTTGCTGTTAGTGTCTGTTGATTGTCTTCTCTCATTCAAGTTGTGATTTGCTTACTGGAAATGTTGGATATTATACTATGAGATTCTGGATACATGAGAAATAAAAAATACATATATCAAAAGTAGCTTGCATGTGAAGGTTTATAGGTACTTTATTCATAATAGTCCAAAAATTAAAATCACAAGATGTTTCCCATCAGGATTAGGATAATCACACTTGGTATATTCATATAATGGAAAAATAATTAGCAAAAAATATAAATGAATTACAGATACATCCTGCAATATGAATGCATCTCAAAAATATTACAGTGAGTGAAAGAAGGCACAGAAGAGTACATACTATATGATTCCATTTATATATAGTTCAAGAACAAGATAAACTAGTATATGGCAATAGAAATCAAGGCTATAGGGAGGAGAGTTGACTAAAATGGGCACAAAGGATCTTTCTGGAGTGATGAAAATGTTCTAAATTTTTATGGCTATGTCAGTTGCTTGGGTGTACATATTTGTCAAAACTCACTGATTTAAACACCTAATGCATTTCATTGCAGGTACATTTTCCCTCAAAAACTACAAAAATGAATAAAAATAAATAACTGATGTACTGGGAAAATAATTTTATTTTTAAAAAAATCTTATGCAAAAGAATGCTTTGTAATTCATGAAAGCATACTGTCAGGAATAAATTCCTCCTTTTCTTAGCATGGGGATCTCCCCGCCACCACCTGCTATCATTAATACCAGAAATCTAACAACAAGCAAACAAGGAAGAACATGATGTTGTCTCAGTCTCCAACTCCCTACCACTATGTCGTGTTTGCACCTACCTCTGGATTTTTCCAAAACTTCTTTAAGAAATCTATAAAATGATTGTGCTGAGGAGGTCAGAGTGATTGCATTATGTAGGTAATGGCAATGCGAGTTCATTTCGATGATTAAACTAAGAATACAATGTAATAAATGAATACTCTTGGATGGATACAAATAGGCAACTAAAGGCAGTAGACTTCCTTAGGCCAAATTGCAGTCTTTTGTAACATGTTTAAATAGTGCTGTGTAAAAAATGATACTCATGTTATAAAAGAAGAATATGTCAACAAAAAGACTTACTCTTCCTACTGAAGTACTGTCTCTTTCTGCCTGAGTGAACAGTGCCATCCAGAAGTAAAAGAACACCTCAGTTGTCAATGTGTCTGTCAGCCCCCTCAAGAATCCCTCTGCTAGGAGCACCTGGCTGGGTAAGTCAGTAGAGCGTGCAACTCTTGGTCTCAGGGTTGTGAGTTCAAGCCCCACATTAGGTGTAGAGATTACTTAAAAATAAAATCTTAAAAAAAAATAATCCCTCTGCTATTCCTGACTGATTATAGCTCTACTCTATGGCCTAATCTTCATCACCTAAGATAGAGGTCAAAAGGTAGAATTTGGACCCTCCATCTATTCACACAGTAGCTTAAGCTCTGGGCTGTTTATTTCAAACATTATCATTTGTTGTTAATCATATCCAGTTTCAAGAAATAAATTGTCTTCCTCAAGAGCTAAAATAGGATATTTAAAATGAAAACATCATGAGGGTGCCT